CGCGGGTAACCTACGTGACAGGCGGGAACACTCACCACTATACTAACCTCACTATTTTACAAAATATCACTTAGTTACTTGACAGTGGCAAAAAGTTTGGCACATTTAGTCACTAGGCTAGTAAAGCTTTGAAAATAAACAAGACTATCTTGTAATAAAGACTTCGGGTTAAAATCGCCCATATACATTCAATAGCCTACTGGAGAGCATTGGTGCATTAAAACGTGACCATCAGAGCCATTTGACCAGTTATTTTTATGCGGGTGGAGGCAAGAAAATTTTTCAATGTACATACCTCAGATGTATGGGCAGCACTCTTTCGGTTCATTAGGTCTGGCTTGGATGCAGCACTAGGATGACAATTACGCTGTGCCTCACAATTCTCTCCATTAACTTGATCCATTCTGCTACTGGCAACCACTGGATAAGGGGCTCTGTCACTGTTATTTTCGGCAGGCTGATGACCCATATGATCCCTCACCAAAGAAGACAGAGTCTCAGCAAACTGTAGTACATCAGGTAGAGGATCCTTCACCATAGCACGCAGCTCCATCGAACTCAATTTAAGTGCTTCCTGTGCTTTCTCGATTTCAGGCGTAGGCAGGAAGTCCTGTCTACCAGATGCATCAAGTCCTAACTCAATAGAGTCACTGATCCTAACACCTCCACATGTCCGAGCTAATGCTCCTCTGGTGCGTCTGAAAGCAACATGCTTCTGCCTGGGCAATGCATTTCCTTTGCGCACTTCTGCAAGCACAAAAAACAATCATCTCAACATGAAACCCATAAAACTGATACGAGTTAAACAATTAATATATCAAAAAAGAAATAACAACAAAATTGCTATGGGTCCAACAAGGAAATGTCAAAAAGTAATCTTTTATCTCTTATCAAAGGATAGCCCATATATACCAGAAAAAGCAAAAAGTTCAGCCTTGAACACCAACATCCAGAATTGGTCATATATTCACTTACATAAACCAATAATCAGATCATAGGTACTTATAGAAAGTATTCATACAAATACATATCTCAAGTTAGATCATATCATAGATTTTAACAACACATTCACACAAAGATTTAACATCTTCAGACACATTTTGCAGATGTAATGTTACATATTACAGCTCTACCTCTGACATTATTCCTGCAAGTCCCTTGTTCGTTCACCCCTCCAAAAAATGCCCTCACCGTATCATCACTCCTGTAAGTCTCCGCCACAACATCAAGAAAAGGAGGCCCAATTCTCTCTTTAGCTTCTCTAACGAAAACCATAACCGCCTCAACAGGAAATATGCCTTTACTTCTCCTTATCACATTATCACAACACTTATCTTCCCATAACGCTGCTTCTATTTCATCCCTCCAATCCCATAACTCTTCACATACGAACCCTACATTCTCCATTTTTTCCATTAAATTAATTCTCTTTTTCCATATCCTCTTTACTGCTTCAAAATACTTTCCTTTATCACTTTCCGCCCCTTTTTCATTCAAAAATTTCACCGTGCATTCCACTGCCACCGCACAGTACGCGGATTTCAGTTCCTTTAAAGTTTCAGTTCCTTCTTGATGATCTAGTTCCTCGAATAGTTCGAGAAGTTCGAGGATTTTCTCAGTAACTGAACCGTTAGAAATCTCGGATTCAAGTTTTCTGAGGATTAGGGCTTTTTTGAGGTTCAAATTGTCGTTTGGAAGTGGAATAGTGTGAATTAGAGCGTTGAGTATGCTGTCATCGAGCGGTTGTCGGAGGATGAATTCGAGAATCCAACGGGATATATCAACATCCATTTGTTAAGCGTGAAATGAGCCTTAAGAACCCTAAAATTGAATTTCGAATGACTATTCTACGGGGTGTTGAGAAAGGGGATTTTGTCGGGTCGGGTCGGGTGCTTCTCAGTTCTATACTTCTATTGTCTTTCTTCCCGGTTTCCTAAAAGCTCCGGCCAAAATACTCCGGCGAGCTCCGATGAAATATACTCACTAATTGGAAATGATCTTACTCTTCTTAAATGGTGTATGAGTACCAAATGATTAAAAATTTCATTCATTTCAGGAGTAATAATTAAGTATTTCCTTTGTTTAAAATAGAATGGTGACTTCCCAAGTACGATATCAAATCCTTCACTTAGTTTTTTGTGCCAATTCAAAAATTGATTTTTTAATCATTTTAAATAAAATTTAAAATCTAGAATGGTGACTTCCCAAGTACGATATCAAATCCTTCACTTAGTTTTTTGTGCCAATTCAAAAATTGATTTTTTAATCATTTTAAATAAAAATTTAAAATCTAATTATTTTAACTCTATTCAACTCTTAATTGAAGTATAGATATCCTCTTAGTTTTTTTTGTGTGCGCCTTGTAAGAATGTGAGTCCAGAACCATAATGATGTAAATTTGGACTAAAAATACAAAATAGGTGAAAAACAAATATTGAAAACTTTTTTATATATAAGGTATGTGTTTAATGCAATATACCTTGGATATGGAAAAGCAATTACTCAAATGTTCTCATAATACTCTTATACTAAAATTACTTGAAACAATTTATAAAAAAAATATAATCAAAGAAAATTATATTTAATTTTCTAAATAATAACAATGGCATATAAAATGAAACACAAGGAGTATTTATACATAAAATTCGTTTCTATAAAGAATTTGGTGAACTTGTTTACTGCTACTGCGACAATTGAACACATCTTTTTTCTTGAAGTATAAACTTCTAATTTCTTTTGTCTTTGTATTTTCTGTATACATTTAACTAATGCATGAAAATTAAGTCTCAAGGATAATTTTGTATTTTAATAAAAATATACAAATTCTTCCTTCATAAGGTAGGGTAGATCTGCATACACATTACCCTCCCGACCCCACGTGTGAGATTTCACTGAATTTATTGTTGTTGTTGATAAAATAAACAAATGATTTTCCACAAACTTATTTTTTAGAGGTGAGAATTGTCATTCTAACTCTCATGGAATGAAAAATCTTTGTCCACGAAATTATTTTTATAACTTACAAAAAATTCAAGTTGGTGTTTATTAAAAAGTTTTCTCAAGTTCTTTTTAGTTTTTGTTATTTCTTAAAAAGGAAAACTACATTATGAAATTGTGGTGAGGGTGTTTTCCAAATAATGTTTCAATAAAAATCCCGCCCCACCCCACCCACTCACTCCACCCTAAATAAAAATATTATTAATAATACTTTCTTTTCATCTTATAGATAGTTTTTTTTTATTTCAACAAATGAGTATTTTTTTCATGATATAAAAAAGTATTTGTTTTCATTTTAACAAAAGGAATACTTTCTTTTCATGTAGAAAAAGTATTTTTTTTCATTTCAATAAAAAAAATATTTTTTACTCTCTAATCAAACAATAAAAAATACTTTTGGTAAAAAAAATTTCATTCACGTGATCCATCTGAATATTTCATAAAAACATTTTTGGCGGAAAACATTTTCCTTAGTAGCAAACACACCCATCTGAATATTTCTTACTAAATAAAAAGACTCACGTGATCCGCCCTGCGAAAAGCTCGCTGGAATTCAGTTAAAAAGTCAAAATTAAATTATTAAACAACAAAAAGCTATAAATATGGTGGTGAAATTTTCCGAATTCTGCTTCTAATGCTTTTAACGTTCTATCAAACACTTAGCGCACATCACTTACCTCCATTTCCGTGATCCGAAGTTTTTCAGGTTCTTCCATTTTCTTCCATTCTTTCTCCATATTACCTGTACGTATATTTGTATGAATATTATAATATCCAATTTGTATCTATATCTAAGTAGCAGATCTATAATTTCACAAAGCGTATTATTGCAATTTTCATCTCCCTGCGGAGGCGAATCGAAAATTTTGAATCATTTGGTGCACTGCTTAACATATTCTTAGTTTTTGCTTTAAAAAATTCTCTGTACATATGTATACTGCATTTTTAAAATTTATTCACACACACGTGCATGTTGATCCACCGCATATATGATGGATTCGTGTATGGTTTTTAATGGATTGTTATATCTCGTTGAGTAAATCACATTTATATCGGAATTGGACGTTTATTTTCAGCTGAGCTGGTTTTGTATGGATGCACGATTGCGATGAGGTAAGAATTTGGATGTGAAATTGCAAAATGATTTGCATTTAGCTTCTTCTTTTTTTTTTTTAATGATATAAGAGGTGGAAAAATTACATTTGATGTGCAGATTTTGAGGTTGGGATTGGAGAAAAAGCGAAAATGAGCGAAGGGCAGAGGTTTCAGCTGGGGACCATAGGGGCACTGAGTTTGTCGGTGGTGTCTTCTGTGTCCATTGTTATTTGCAATAAGGCGCTTATTAGCACCCTAGGTTTTACATTTGGTTAGTTTCATAACTTCTCTCAAAAGGCATTTCTTTTTTGTGTATTTCTGTGTGTGTGCGTGTGTGTTTTCTTCCATTAGTATAATGACTAATTTTACGAGTGAGTTGCTTATGTTGTAGAACTTGCTTCGTGAAATTAGGTACTTGCTTTACAATTAACATTTAATTTACCTTGAAAAGATAAATTATTTAATGCATTTAGAGGGGGAATGGACATTTTCATATAGCCAACAGGAACTATTCAGATTGAGGCATAATTGATTGATTCGTTGATTACTTTCACATGGTGAATCACCAGAGTTTGTGGGGGAAAAGATTTCTAAGATTGTTGTTGTTTGGACGAATGTCATTCAGTAAACCTCAATATTTTACGCCAAAAAAATGGGTTCGACTGTTTGTAATTAGTCGGTAGCAGAAACAGCTAAAATATTTTGGCTTGGTTATTTCTTTTGTTTATGTTCTTCTTTACATACAACAACAACAACATACTCAGTATAATCACACAAGTGGGATAAAGAGGCTGTTTCCGCTAGACCCTCGGCTCAAGAAAAAGTGAAACCTTCAGTTGATCAACTTGCAATTATTTCCTCTGTTCCTCTAATGTATAACAACTTAATTTGACAGTTGATCAACTTGGCTTATGTCATACTGGTAGGAGGAGAGAACATAAAATCAGGTCCAAGTGTATGCATAGTAGTTAAACAAAAAGTATAACATAATGCAAATCACTCTTGTGCATTTACATCTAAAATATGTTAAACACCTCTTAGACATCCCAGAAACAATTTATTAGGCTGTCAGTTGGCACTTCCAGTTTGGTTCTTGAAAAACCTAATAAAAGAAATTGTCAATTTTATTTTGTTCAGCTTTCAGTTCTAACTTTTTATGTTACTTTCTCAGCTACGACTTTGACAAGCTGGCATCTTCTAGTTACATTTTGTTCTCTCCATGTGGCTATATGGATGAGATTGTTTGAGCACAAGCCTTTTGATCCGAAAGCTGTTATGGGCTTCGGAATACTGAATGGGTCCTCCATTGGACTTCTTAATCTAAGCCTGGGGTTTAATTCTGTCGGTTTTTATCAGGTTCATTCTTTTTCCTTTCTGCTATTAATGACTATCTGGCAAAATAAATTTTAAACCTGTCTGCCTTTACTAGTGATATATCAGGTTAAGATCTTTTTCTTGTTGTTTTTAACTCTCTTTTCTTTAAGTTTTCCTTTTTCTCATTTCTTGTCCCCTTATTTCTGTACCTATGTTTCAAGGTATAACAATGTATCCGCTGGAAATTAGTTTGATATAGTAAAGTGTTTATAAGATCTAGAAGCTGAACGGCATGATTTTACAACTGGAAATAGATTGTTCCTCTATGACCTTAAGTTACTCACGATGAAGATGTGCTGCCAAAATCTTATCATGAAATGTTTAATGGTCATTACGACATTAACAATCAACATAGCTAGCTGAATTCTAAGGTCTTTTCCATTTTCATTCTTTGGAAAGGGCAGCAAGCTTCTTCCTTTTTGTGGTTAGACACGAATTTACTTGATGTGATGTGATCCTCTTGTTTCCTGCTGCTCTCAAACTCTCATTATAGCTTAATTCTATTTTGTCTCTGCAGAGGAGATCTTTAGCTTATGGTTAATTTCGAAACTTAAATGCAGTTATTTGTTCTGATCTTTTTACTGCTTTTGCATTATAGATGACAAAATTAGCTATCATCCCCTGTACAGTTCTTTTGGAGACTCTTTTCTACAGGAAAAAGTTCAGGTAAAATTTGCTAATGTTGACTTACTCAATTTTCTTTACTATTTCCGAAAAGTTCTTCAAAAGTGAGTCTATGTTTACACTAGGTAGATGGAGTATCACAGTACATTACCTTCACAGCCATTGTTATTTCTCTTTTGGAGCATTTTTCTCTTCCAAATAGTGATCTATTCTCGTTTTGTTAAGCTTGGAACATTACATTGAGGAAGCTTTTTCACCACCATGTGTTTGGCTCAATCCAGAATTAATTTCTTTGAATAATTAGAATTTGAGCCTGAATAGTCACATATACATTCATTTCTTCTTGATTTGATAAAGATCAACTTAGACAAAAAATATGGCAAAAGAAAGGTGTTTAAGACAACTATCTGCATCAAAATCTATATAAAACGGCAAGTAGTGTCTAGAGGAAAATACTCAGGCACCTTTGATTGAGTATGCGCCCCTTGCATGTCTATTTTACTTTTGTAGATCCTGAAGGTGTTTTTTTTTCTTTCAAATAGGGGTGATCAGGTGCATTATGCAGGCTGAAAGTAATTCAAACATTTGCTAGATTTTGGACCCAAAAAAAAGTTGGTTAGCTTCTATCAGGGAATGCTAGCAAAAGCGCTTTCATCATCTTAGCTAATTGATTTTTGTGTTAGAAATTCTACTACTTTAAGATTATGACTGAAAGTCTACTGGTACTAGACAAAGATCTTAAGTGCCATTAACAGGGTTAAAGGTAAAGCAGAAGATTAAGTTCTTGACAAATTGTGCTTTTGAAATGCATATATGCCTGTGAAATGCTGTTAATCATTAAGATTGTTAGAGCCAACCATATCAATTTTTTTTTAGGGTCCTTAACAATTCAGAGATCCATTTGGAACATTCTCGGTCAATTTCATTAGTTTTCCTGTTAGGTTTGACCACTCTCAAGATTGTTTCTCCTATTTTTAT